ATGTTTCAGAGAGCTGAACACGTCGGTTTACAGTATATTTCATAGCTCCTCACCTTCCTCCTCTTTGTCTCGTGCAGAGGCCCGAAGCAGCTTCCAGCCGCCTCTGACCTCTGAACCCTCCACTAAAGATTGACCTCGCTCTTTTCCATCCTCCTCTTTTCCCTTCGACAAACGTTTGAATCAATTCCATTTTTGCTGTCAGTGCATTCTCTCCCCCGTTCTTTAAATGACCTACTTAGTAATCCCTCCCGTTGAGAGTACAGCTCTTCTTCTCCGTAGCGGGAAGAAAAGATAACAACCGAGAGAGGGAACGCTACATGTTCTCAGCTTAGTCAATACTGCATGCAAATGCCGCCTTATGGTGGATTTGATGCACCAAAACCTGCTGAAATCACCCGAGACGGTTGCTGCAGAAGGCTCTCAGTGCTGCATTTGATCTGGTCTTTGTTTTGTTTTTCATGCCTCTAAACATTTTACTCTCTGCAGCTTGCAGCCGTCATGACGTGCTCTGCAACACCAAAACCCTTTTGTCAACCTAGAGGAGACCTCATGCAGAAATGATATCGAGTCAAGACTTAATATAATGTCTGCAGATAGGAGATATCCCTCCAGTCTTCTTTTAACACTGAGCTAAACCACAATAACAGCATCTTAAATGCCTCTCTACTTCTCATACACCACATCTGCAGCTGCAGTACGAGCAAAACTTGGGAACGGTGGTGCTAATTACAGAACTGCACTCAGAAAAGCCTCTAAGGCAGTTTTCACACTTTAAAGTGGAGCACATGAGGCCGGCACAGTTTCCTCCATCCAGGCTGGCGGAGCTGCTGCCTCATGTCACATTCTCTCTTTGCAGCGATCGTCCAGGGTGATAACATTTCCTCCCATTAAAAAGCCTGTTCGGGTTTAAGTTCCAGTGTGATGCAGGTCTGCGCTCCGCGTCGTCTTTCCTTTTCCTCTCCGGTGGGAATGTGGAGCACGTGAGACGTGTGATGCAGCCATGTGAGACGCAGAGAAGGCGTGACAGTGAGAGGAAGAGGGATGATGTGGGAGGTCTGGTGTTCAATACAAAATGTATGTAGTTAAGTGGGGGGATGAAAAGGAAGAGAGAAATGTAGAAAAAGAGCAACAGCATACAGGAACATGGAATTAATTATCTTTACTAAAATATTGAAAACATGAGTTAGTTATTTTTTGCCGCACTAGCAGCATCAGCTGTATTGACTGGCTCAATTTCTTTGTACAGACATTCATGGTTCCCAGACGATGAATCTTCCAGACTTTTGACTTTTCCTTCCGTGCCACCATGTTGTTGACAATTTTGATTTAAGATTCAAATGTCTCTGTGCAGCTATTTAATAATAGTTTATGTTTGAAACTTGTCGTTTATGACCAAATACCTGCTGTACTAATCCACTTCCCATCAGCCTCAGCTACGTTTAGTGCTAGTTAGCATGTTAGCATGCTGACGTTAGCATTTAACTCGGCACAGCCTCACAGAGCTGCTGGCATGGCTGTTGACGCTTAACTCGCGCGTAGCATGAGCCACAAGGTTGAAAATTGATGCTTAACGCTCTGGTAGTTTCATTATTCTCAGAATGTACTGTCTAGAAGCAAGAAGACGATGACGAGTGTAGCCGGTAAAACGCCTTAAACCAACCTCCACAATTCTTCTCTGCTGTCAACTGTGGAAAACAAATGTTCCTAACCATGAGATAGCCACGTGTTGTGATAAAATCATAACCAGAGTAGATGCTTAAAAAACCATAATTAAAATATTGAACAAAATGTAAAGCTGCAATAATGCTTTCAGTCTCTTGCAGCACACCTATCTTTTAAAATAAACCACCTCCATATAAACCACCTCCATATTGTTAATGAGTGCCTCTGATCCTGCTGTGGCTGAAGAAATGTGGAGATGCTGCTTTAATGTGCACGAGGAGTCTGGAGAAAAGCCTGGGTATCCATCAATCATAGAGGCAGCGTGGTTCTGTCTGCTCCCTCAGTCCTGCCCAATGGTGCCCGGCCTTCACGCACACGCACGCACACACACACACACACACACACACACACACACACACACAGTACACGTGTGCGTGCTTTCCCCTCACTCCTTGCGTTTCTTCATCTCAGTATGGTCTCACCAACTGAAATATTGATGTGAGGAGACCGTAGTTGTGTTTGTTCAGGGAGGCACTGAGTCTCTGACAGATCGACAGCATGGGTTCATCTGCTGCTCCCATCTGCATCGACCTGCTGGACTACAGGTGTGTGTGTGTCAGTGTGTGTGTGTGTCAGTGTGCACATCTGTTTCATGTGCACATGCTGGATGTCTTTTTGTAAATCCGTAGTCCATTCCTTCGGACTGGACGGTATATTTGGGGCGTATTCTTGTCACAGAATCTGACCGTATTGACTGGTATTTTCACGAGCCATCTCTGTCGTTTTCCACTGATGCAAATATTTGCCTCCTTCATTTGCCTCCTTGATAATCGATTTTAATAGGATTATGCACACGATGGAGAGAGTTGGACACTGAGGTGCTGCTGATGCTTATTTTAAGCACAAAGGAGGATACCTGATGCCTGTTGCCTCGCCTCCTCTCTTCCTCACCTCCTCCGCTCGCATCTCCATGGGCGGGACTGAGACGCGAGGCGAGGAAAGGAATCGAGGAGGCACAAAATCGGGAAATCAGAAATCACCCCTAGTTTCAGGAATAAACGCACGACATCAGCAGAGAAACGGCTCTCTTCCAGAAACAGACCAGAGGAAAGTCAGTGGGCGTAACAACTTGTAAATATAAGTTAGATTATCCTGTAGGTCTGTTTTTAGATGTCTTCAAGCTTTAGTCACAACTCAGGGATTGTGTAAGTGCAGGAATAAGAACAAGAGTCCTATAACTTCTAGAGGTATAACTTCAAAAATGGCTCCATCATCATAGCTAAAAGTGAGGAAAGATCCAACTTTGATCACCTCCTGAGTCTTTATGGCTTACCCCCCCCCCCCCCACCCCCCCCCTTCAGCAGTCATTTATTATTCAGCAGCAGAGAGCTTGGGGGAGAGCCAGGTACACTATTAGACGGATAACTCAGAAGTGGGACATGATGGCATCACAGACTGGAGGTAATCCTGGCTCCTCCACCTGAAAATATTCCGGCTCGTCTCCTCCTCGCCGCTCTCATTTCGCAGCACTTTCCTTCACTCTGGTACCTTTCAGCACCTCTTACCTTTTTCTCAATATTCTCTCTCTTATACATCTTTTTCTACAGACTCTCTTTATTCCTCTTTTCGCCACCCTTTAACTCTTCCTTGAGCCTCCATAATTTTGTCCTCAACTTTTATTTTCACCTCTTTTTCTCGCCTCTTTCCCTTCCCCTCTTATCCTCAATCCCTCCGAGTAAAGAGGAGATACTTTTGGGAGCAAGTGAGCTTGGACTTGCATGGCATGAAGGGCAAAGACACACAAAGGGACCCCATAGGGAGGAGGAAAAAATTGATTTTCCAGTCGGAGAGGCCATCCAGTGGAGGACTAAGTCTGCCCTCGGGGCTCTGACCAGCTCCTGATGGGAAAGGCCAGCCGATGACCTTCAGACTCAACGAATCATGTTTATTTTTTATTCAGAGATGAAGTGTTCTATTGGTTTTTAAAAAGGAATACCAGAATGTTTATTTGGAGGCAAGCTTCGGCCCCGACGTATCAGAAACGTGTCAAAGATGTGGTTTGGTGTACCCGGTGGAAGGTGTGTGTGTGTGTGTGTGTGTGTGTGTGTGTGTGTGTGTGTGTGTGTTTCTGTGAATGTGAGCCTCAGCCCGTTGGACCTTCACGAGGAGCACAGCGCAGCATCCCCTCTGGTGTTACTGTGAGATGGAGACGCTCAGAGAAAGAGACGTATCACAACACAAACACACACAGAACCATTGGCTGGCCGGCAGCCATGACAGATGGGGAAGTTCAGTCCACAGATAAGGGGCAGGGGGGGTGTTGCCATGGAAACCAGCATCAGCGCTACCCCTGAGCCTCTCCACTCTGCATAAGCCCGAGATACAGAGAGGCGTCTGCAGAGGAGAGTGCGGCGTGGGCAGCGGGAGCCGGCTGTTTAGGACTTGTTGTTGTTGCGCAAGGAGTCGGTGTCGTCGGGTTCACGACTCGGTTCCTCGTTTTAGAATCGACGACGGTGTTTATGCAGTTAATGGATTTGTTCGTGGGGGACAAAGGCGGCCGTTGTCTGTAACTGTGTCAGTGAGAAAGTGTGTCACGACGAGCACTTGACTGCACAGAAAGAGATGCATGTGGATGTCCATCCCTCCTCTCCTTTACATTTACTCTCTCCACCAGAGAGCAATTATCACATCCGTCTTCACATTACATGTTCCTCTCTCTCTGTCTTTCTGAACAGCAGCCATTTCTGCCTCTTTCTCCTCACTCTTTGATTCCGTCATCGATCCTGTTTAAGAGCAAACGAGGCAAAGCACCCGTCGGCCTAGAAAAGGGTCTAACTAGATGTGACAGGCACTAAAAGCCAATCCAGTCCGTCGACGCCATATGGATCATTACTTCAGCAGCCCTCCTGCTGGATTTCTTCTCTGTTATTCATCTTCAGTTTTTCTGTGTGTGCTGAAACCAGGCGGCAAACTCTGAAGCCGATGCTGAAGTGTCTTAAAGCTGCATTCTCTCTAGTGTCTCTCAGTTATGATGCTGCGTGAGACCAAAAATGATTTATGTCCGAAATAGCCTTTCATCCTTTTGCTCTCTCTCTCTCACACTCGGGTCACTAATGGATCCGCATATTTTATTCCTGTGCATTAAACTATGACTGAATGTAATGTGAAGCCACCGAGGCAAGCTGCTTACACGCACACATTAGGGTGGCAGTAATATGAATAAACTGTTTATTATTATTATACGCGTTAATGTTAATTTCTTGATGTTTGCTTTTCACAATGTGCTGCCTCACACCTGCCAGTAACTTTCCTTTCTTTGGCTCTTTCCGTGTCTGCAGTGAGAAGAGGAAGCTGCAGGTGAACGTATCGAGCCCCATCCGGTGCAGCATGAGCGGCAGGAAGTGCACGGTCATCGTGGAGCCCAAGATCAACCAGTCGCAGCCAGACTTCACCAAGAGCCGGTCTGGTTACATCCTGGCTGTTCCTGGCAACTAAAACAAGCCAAATCGAAGAAGAAAAACAGTGACAGCTGATTTCAAAACCAGGCCGGGATACCGATGATGATTCACTTCTTATTTGCAGATCTGCTGACGATGTGACGAGTTAGATAGCAGCTCTGTAGGAGGATTGTGGTAATTAAATCCTCAAAAATGCAAAGAACATGCCAAATTTGACCTGTTTTGTAGATTTATATGCAATGCTACTATAAACAGGAAGTGTACAATATACGCCTACATGCAAAACTGTGTTCGCTAAACAGGGTTTTTGTGGGGGTGGGGTGGGGGGGGGCGTTAAATGCACCAAAGTGGAGTTCTTTCTTTTTAAAATCCAAATTTGAAATGATTTGCTTTGTGCAATATTTACTTTATGGTAGATGCAATATGGTGGTAGTCAAGGTGACAGGAGATTATGCGGCAACTGTTCTCTGAACCGCTGATGTTGTGTAATAGGAAACAAATCCAACGGCTTTGCAGGAATTTATGGTGCGTGCAGCTCCCTGTGTAGGAGCCCCATCTAAAGTGAAGCATGAAGTAAGATGATATTTATGTATGTACGACTGATACGTAATCTAAGGAATAATAATGTTATTGAAGACTGACCTACCTATGTGGTAAATGAAAGGAAACGCAGCCTACACTTTTGAGTTTGTTCAGTGTTTACAATCACATATGAGAACAGCGATATTGTGATTCAGTGGTTCAGTCGGTGTCTGAGGCACAAACTCTAAATCCATTGATGTTGAGCGGGATGTGTTGAGCATATCCTGAACATCGCAACCTGCTAAATGCAAAGATCTATTAATTTAAACCCTGCTGTGTGTGCGTTTTATAATATTCCAATACTGCTTGTATATTAAAGGGTAGAATATAATTCATGTGATGGCACTTATACTGCATTTAGTATAGAAAGAGAACTAAAACTGAATAACAGAAGGCAAATATGAAGACGATAACCAAAGCGTTTCTTTTTTAGAGACGTATTTTGAGCTCATATTCTCCCTAAAATATAAGTTTTTCAGCAAAGTGTTGCTGGCCAGTACTGTATAATCCCACTAGAACTCCAGCTCCCCGAACATCGTCTCGTTTTTGCTGCCTTTGTGTTGAGTGAATAGCCTAATGACTTGTAGTGATCCTTCGGAGTCAGACTTCCATTTGACAAACATCCCCTTCATTAGAGAGAGAGAGGGAGTGTATGAGTAGGAGTGTGGGAGTGTTGATTAGCTCTCCTCTTCTCCTCTCCTCGCCCGAAGGAGTGAAGACAAAAGGGGTGAGACGTTTGGGATCAGACCGCCGTCCTAGTTTACCTCCCCGTTGAATGATGGGAATGACTTTTTCTGGACTGTTAGGAGACTCATTTTTCATCGGCTCTCGCTAAACTCCCTTCGCTGTTCTCGAGCCAAATCCCACCAATCAAACCATCGGCGCTCAGAGATGCTTTGTACTGCTCTCACAAGCTGTCGGATGTTTTGAGAGTTTTCACTCTTGTTTTTTGTGCCAACACTTAACTAAAGTGTTGGCGCGTTACAATATGTTCTTTATCCAGCAGTTTGCAAAAAGAAAAATGTGTGGCAGCACAGAAGCTCATGAGATAGAGATGTCTGGCTTCACACTGTGTTTAATAATAATATCCATCCACAGATTGAGAACATACGGCATATTGTTTCTTTTGTCTTTTAAAGACAAATAACCAACCCAGTTATTCTCAGGTTAAAAAAACTGTAGTCCACAAACCGACTGCATCAACTTCTTATAAACAAGTCTATGAAATAATTACTTTCTCTATTAATAAAGATCATGTGACGTGGTCGAAAGCTCTAGAACAGCAAATGATAATAGGATTGTCGTGATGGCGTGACAGTAAGTGTCACAAATTCTAAGAATGAGGAGACGAGCGCTATATCGTCTGTGCTAAGACCGATTAAAGAGTACTTGGCTGAGGAACGACAGACCGGGGTTACGAATCGGAGCTCCCTCGGTGTTTGGCCTAGTTGAAGAAGCAGACAGTCGGCTTTACTTCAACTTGTTAGCAATCACTTTAGCCACAGTAGCACGGCGCTCTAATCGTGTGTATGTCTGAAGGAGTCCTTTATCTTAATTAGTTTGCATGCCCCCCTTGTCTTTTGAGGAAGCAAATCTCCATTCTACCTCGCAGCTCTGTGGTGGCTGACCTTGTCCCGTCGCTTTGATGCAGAAGAGAGTTGTTTGGGGAAACTGGTGCATGCATAGTGTGTGTTAAGGAAGTGACACACACTATGCATGCACCAGAGCCTGGCTCTGAGCTATGGAGCTCAGAGCCAGAGGTGTGTGTGTGTGTGTGTGTGTGTGGATTATAACGCTGCAGCTCTCCATATCCTTCAGCATGGTAATCTCCCACAGGGCTTCTCCTCTCCTCTCTGCTCTGCTATTCACCGCTCATCATTAGGATGGACTCCGTGTCACTTCTCACTTCAGCGCTTCTCTCTTTCCCTTTCTCGAGGCAAAAAGGGGGGTTGGTGAACAAAGCCTCGCTTGGCCTCCTCCTCTTCTCTACTCCCATGCGTTCTCTCTCTCCCTCCTCCTTTTCCACTTTCCTTCCTCCTGTCAGATCACTTCTCTCCTCGCCCTGTTTGTCTCACTGCACCGTCCTGCAGGGCAGTGAAGGTTTTTTTCCATTTTTTGTTGTTGTTTTCCTGCTTTCCGTCCTGTGCCCAGGAGGCGTGGAAATACAACCGTAAACTACACCAGCAACAGAACAGCAAGTTGAACAATAGGAGTATCACGTAGCAACAAAAAACGAAAAAGATGAGTATGTTAACCTCAATACTGTGGTTCTACATCTTAATTGTTCTCAACAAATTCCACTGAAAAGACCAAAACCAACACTACGCTGTGTCGCAATTCAGATACTTACATTAGTAGAGTTCTATGTAGTACACTGTGTACACAAAATACTTGCATACTGCATGAAAATTGACAGGGTAGTGCTGTCTCCATAAAAATACAATTCAGTCCTTTTTTATGTTTTCTGTTGTGACTGTTGCAGCGGGCTAACTTCCATAAACTAAACCGATTTACGGCAAGTAAACTAGCTAGCTAATTAGTAGCCTTTTTCAGTACCAAATCATGACCGATAAATTAACCCAATGAATAATACTGATGTCTTCTATCCGACAACAGTAAAGAGTATTTGTTTTGTGCGGTGTTCACCAGTGCAACTGCGACCGCTGCTGCAACCCTCCCTTCCACTACAAAGCCAAGATGGCCTCCCTTTAGGGTGATAAGTGTCCAGCGGTCCACACGCAACTTTTTGACCCTTTATGAGTACACGATCGGGATACTCGCAGAGCAATGCATTTTTTGCCACACTTGTCAGTATGAACGCACGTATGCATTCAAAATAGCAAGCGTAAGTACAGAAGTATGTGAAGTTGAGACTCAGCGTTTGTCTCAAAACTTTCTAGCTTCTCTGAGCTGCCTGTGGCGCTCAGCAGCAAGCTCACTGGTTCCTACTGACGACGTCCATCTTTAAAAACGGCTCCCTTGGCACTGAGGTAGAACATGGCTCAGGCTTTGATACACACAATGCTTATGAGAAATAATACGTATGGAATATCATTAGTTTTATCTTTTAATTTTGTTTTTTTTGTGCTCAAACCAAATCAGCGAAGTTTACTTTTCCATTTTATTGATTATCAGCTTTACAGCAAGTGTAAAAAATCACAATCCTTTCCCTAATTACTCCTTCATAAATGGGCATAAAAGAAAGGAAAATAGGAATGTTAAGACTAGGAGTCTTGTGCCATTGTGTTCTTTCCTTTCCTTTTTTTCCTCTATTCTTCACAACACTCTTTTATCAAGCCCGACCATGTTAGCCAAAGGGTAACAAATTTTCTTTTGCATAATTTATTCCATACTCTGTGGCTTGGCGCAACATCTGTACGTATACACCATTAATTCAGTATGTGCCTAATTTTATACTTGGTTTATATTTTGCATATTTGTGATTCCCGTAAATATCCTGTAATATCCAGACCAAGTCTAAAGGGAACTTCACTGTTGTAACACCTGTTTTTGTGCAGATGTATTCTGTATAAATGCAGTTCATGCATTCCATGATGTTCCACAATGAAACGTATTTCATTAATCATTTCATTAATAAATGTATTTGCATCAACAGCTGCTGCTTTTAGTCATTTTCTGAGCTGGCGTGTGGGTGATCAGATAACACTGAAATCATTAGTCTGGATATGGTGCCAGGACTGATGTTGTGTTGACTCGAATGTTTCCCCGAGGCCAGCCGTACTCCGTAATGTGTGACGTGGAGATAGCTGAGTAGAGCTCATCGTTAATCCACCCACTAACAGCTGTTGATGACGCAACGGCTAAAACTCCTGCAGTCGACATGACAATGCCGCTTCCCACTGCGTCAGCCGTCACCGGTGACCTCAGCAGGGGTTTATAATCCACTGGTTGATGGATGACTATCTGCTGCGAAGAGTGGGATGACTGGGGTTTTTTCCCCCACGGGGCAGTGGCTAAGTAAGACGGCACTGACTGACCCAGTGGTGAAGTAAATGTGAGTTAATGGACAGAGTGATTTGCAAAGAGTGAACTGACCCAAACTAATCTGTCTGTGTGTGCGTTTGGAGATACAGCCCTGATTCCCAACCAGGAGATACTTCTGCAGGAAAGACTGTGAATAGACATCTTTAAAGATTATCCACATCTTTTGTTTAGGAGGAATGTAAACACACGTGTAGGATTACAGATTGATGGGATTGATGATATGTTTATTGTTACAATTATCAAACTGCCAGCCCAGATACGGCCCACAGCATAGAGACCAGCCTCCCACCAACCCGAGCTATTTGTAAGCTGCTGTGATGGAGAAGTTAGCAATATACCAGTTAGCCAGCGAGCAGAGCAGATGGAAAGGATTATTTCTGTCAGATTGCAGGAAATGGAGATAAGTATAAGAATACGATAAATGTTAGTACATTCAGTTTTTACACCAGCTGTTAGTAGTATGAATGCAAACAAAATGTCCCTTCTCTCACTTTTGCTGTTATTTCCAGTGTAAAGGTGAATAGGGTAAAAAATGTAATAATAATAGATAATTATCTTATATGTGCTAATTTTCATACATTTCCAGGACATACATCTGAACATACAGAACATTGGATGAAGCCAGGTTCAAAATTCTTGTTTCATTTTGTTGAAATATTAAAGTCAAAGGTTTGTACAGAGGGAGTTATGGATATCTCTTTGTATCACTCCATGAATCAGAAAATACTGTCGACTATATAAAGAAAAACATTTTTTGCCATTTTTTATTAATAGAATGTTGTATAAATGAGTCTCTGAATGCTGTGTGAACAAACCCCTCTGTGTGAACCTTCAGCACACAGAGAGGAATGAACATGTACAGTTTGGTGTATGTAAGAGCTGCTGAAGTGGAGATTTCTGGATCAGAGTCTGAGAACAAACTCATTTAGAGAAAACGGCCTTTAAAATATTTTTCATAAAATTAGACATTTAGAAGACACTACAGGTGAATAGGGTAGAATAAATAACTAATAGATATCACCATGAAACTTCCACACTAGATTACTTACGTTCAGGATTTTTTGTATTACAAGTTTTCTGAAATGGTACGTTTCAATATGCAAATGAGGTGTTGTCTAATGCTGACTTTTGGTGAATTTTGAATGTTTTATTTTCACTTATCTGAAAGAAGACTCAAAATGCACCTGTTCTTGCTTGTATTGTCTCGCCTCAAGGTTTTTCTGGGGTTCATAGTTTTTCCCTATATCCAAACTGAGGCTCTACGGATAGACGGCAAATATGAAATGTGATCATGTGAAGGTAGGGATCGAACCAGCAACTCTAAGATTATGTTGGATTGAGATGCCCTTGAGCAAGGCCTTTAAGTTAACCAGGTGTGAATTTGTATAACTATTGATGTTCCTGAGTGTTCAAAGTGCAGCTACATCTGGAGGCACAAAAAGACAAGTGGTGAACGATCAGTGCATTTTATTTTTCCATCACAGTACAAAAATAAATTAAAATAGGCAGAAACTAACTGAAAAAAAGTTTCAATTACAGTAACAGCTTTTTTGTCTTTTTCAAAAAAAGAACATTTTTATTGAACAGCATCGACACCCCTCCCTCCGAGTCCTAGTTCAGTACCAGCGTGGTCGGTGTATGCTCCACGTCCATAAGAAAACATGTCACACATTCTTCTGTACAAATAAAACGCGCTCATTCACTCTCTCTCACACACACACACACACACACACACACATGCAGCCATCAAATGCTTCCCTTTTTTTAAGTTGTTTGCCACTGTTTCGTTTTTTTTATCTACAAAGTACGCAACAAGATACAGAAAAGAATTTGACAGAAATCTTTAACTATCACTTGAGTCTTTTTTCATAATTCATAAGCATTTGAAAGTATTTTCTCAAACAACTACTCAATGATGCAAAGTGGGGGGGGGGGGGGGACAAATGGCACATTTCAAGTGAATCGAGGGGGGAAGTGGACAGAGAGATAGAAGATGCGGGGTCTCTTCTTGATGCCCTTTACCCCAATGCCCTGCTTTGTGTTCTGCCACAGCAGAAGCCCAATCGAAAGTGCTTGTCCCCCCCCCGCTATTGTGCCAGCACAAACACTCCAAATGAACTTGCTCTCACTGATCTAACTCCACATGGGTAGCCACAGTCCCACAGCAGAGGAGGCCACAGGTTGTGACCGTCAAAGCTGCACGTTTTCTCAGATTCACACTAACTCCGCAGCAGAGAAGCAACAAACGTGACAGAAGCCTTTTGTTAGCACGACCAGTCCGTTATGCTTGTTAGACAGATTTTCAGAACACTGCTAAAGGAAGAGAGCGTGCATTATTTGTCTACAGAGTGCTGCAGGGATGACGTATTGTCGTAGGCCAACCAGGGAGTTAGCATCGCGCGGGTTCCCATAGCAAAAAGCCAATGGGATTTTTCAATTTTGGAATTATTGCTGAAAATTAGCTCTGTAGCAACGTTTGAAATCATTAATTTATGTTCATCAAGATAATCTCCACAAATCAACAGCACTTTATGATTTTTGAAGCATAAATGCAATCAGCAGACGTCAAAATCTAACCTTGCGCACATTAACACGGTCTCATGACTTCACCACTGAGCTAAAGTCGGACTAGTGTTCTAGTGATGACGTTTAGTTGTCTAGTTTAGTGGCCACTTGTTAGCAACAGGCGGCAACTTCCGGTTCTGAAAAGTGACGCCAATGCCGAAGTGTCTTAAAGCTGCATTCTCTCTAGTGTCCATCAGGGGGCGACTCCTCTGGTTGTATAGAAGTCTATGAGAAAATGACTCTACTTCTCTCTTGATTTATTCCCTCAGTAAACATTGTAAACATGAGTTTATGCTCTCAATCTCTAGTTTCAAGTCTTCTTCAATACAGCATGATGTTCATTTAGTACATTATGGTCCATTTAGAGTCAAACAGACCATAAAGCAGGGGATGCTTTAGGGCGGGGCTTACTGTGAGATTGACAGGTCTCTACCAGAGCCGTATACAACGTTTCTACGTCACTCCTCCGCAGTCCAAATATGGTCACATCCGTTCACTGGTTGCCAAAAACCAAGATGGCGACGGCCAAAATGCCGAACTAAGGGCTTCAAAACATCAGTCCACAAAACGATGGGTGACGTCAGAACCACTACGTCCACTTCTTACAGTCTGATGGTGAGCAACTGCATAGGAGGGATATTTACCGACGTATTTTCATGTCGTAGAGCAAAACGTTAAAATCTTTTCAGCTTGTGTTAACTACAGACCTTATTTCAGGCATCTAATCAAAAACACATTCAAAAAACCCATTGACTTCATGATGAGGGAACCTTAAGTGCAAAATGCTGATTTCTGGGTTTTTAGGACTCATTCCTGCAACACACTCTATTGAAATGAGATGTGAAAACCAGGAGAAACATGTCTCATACATTTCTGGATAGAAATACTGTAGATAGAAACTCATCCCCTCTGAAACATGAACTGCAATTGCTCTGCATGCGTTCTGCTTTGGTTGCCGTTGCACACTGCAGCAGCTCATTTGAGTCAGGTGGTTTTCTATGATTGAACGTGTGATCGTTCCTGTGAAGGTTGCCTCGTCTCCTACAGGCTCTAGATGAGTGTGACATCGCCTCGCATTTGATTTACAAGGAGGTGATGCTGACGGATCATCTGCAGTGATGCTGAACATTGAAATAATCTTTCTCTGTCTGATATGTGGGACAGCAGGTCGGGTCGGCTCCTTTGTGATGTCTTTTAAGGGCGTTTTCTTAAGTATAAGTTCAATGATGTGTTCTGTTAAGGTGTCCTTGATGACGTGACTTTGGTGACGGTCAGATTTAACATAGTTTTTTTTAAATTAGGTATTTATTGATAAATCACTGCAACATTAATTTGCATAAACCAGATCAATCTTCATTCCCACCAAAGATAAGCACGCCTACATCTCTTCGTGTCCTTCCCTTTTCAAAGTCTCTCCTTTCATTTACATTAAATGTGCCTAAATAAATACATAAATGGCAATAAATTAAGTGTCAGTAAGTTAGTTAGTAGAAGATGAAAATCCATCCCATCATTCAACAGCTGGACAAACAGTACAGAGTTCTCAGACCTGTGGGATTTTTCATCAACGATATGGCACTGTTTTAAACATTATCTATGCTGAATCATAAGCACAAAATCAAACGTCATTCCAAAACTCGACAAAAGTACAAAAAGAATTTCCCTGGTAAACAAATAGCCTATTTTAGCAAGCAGAGCTAAATAAACTAGTGTCACTTTGTTCACAGCATTCTCTAATGCAGATGCAGTTGGTTTACAAATCAAGTAAAAAGAAGAAAAGTAACAGTTGTTCCTTCCCTCCCGGATAACGCTGTAAAATTGCATGGCACACGTGCAAAACATTACATTTCTAAGTAAAAAAAAAAGAAAAAAAATAGAAGAAAGAAATCAAAGAAAACTTGTTCCAGAAAAGCAATAAATAAGCCGCCATCGGTGTGAGCCTCTGGTGGAGTAAAACATCCATTAACTTGTTTTATTTTTTCGTCTAGATGAAAATAAGTCGGTCTCTCTGAACACACACAGTATGACCACTCATCATACGTCCTCTGGCTGTTGTAGTCCCACAATGAAGTGTTTGCCTCTTGTCCGTCCAGTAGAAGTCCTGTTGTAGAGCCACAAACAGAAAACCCACGAAAATATGGATCCAGCATCGATGGCCCCTGCTGTTCTTTCAGATATGCATTGCAGCAAAAATAAACGTCCAGTGGTATCCGCGTTAACGGAGAGGACATGGCGTTCCAAAGAGCCAGAGTTTGTTGCAGCCGGGAGGGGTGGGGGGGGCGCCTGTTCATCCGTAATGCATGAAGAAAGCCAGGCAGGCAATGGCCCTCACCCTCCTGCAGTATAGGCAGTGCACATCACATCGTCAGACAGTCAGAAGGTCACCGGTAGGCTGCCGCAGCCTCAGTCCTCTCCACATTCATTGCTGTAGATGTTCTTCCTCTTCTAATGTCTGTCTTTTTATCTGAATTGTTTTGTTTTGTGTGTGTTTTTCAGTATTTCATATAGATATATATCTGTATGTTAGCAAAGGATTTACCCAAGTCTGGCATTTGTTGTTTAAATATCATTGTCAAAAAACGCTTTCATTCTCAGGTTTACAGAAACCCATCCTTTGCTCCTTTGAAAATAGAATTTGGCCTTGATAATATTACACGTCTTTAAGAGGCTGCTTTTTAAACCCTATGGCCCCGTATTTAGGTGACGGTTACAAATGTTATCCCCCAAACTTAAACATTTTAAAACTATGACAATCACCGAGCCTGCTGCCCCCTCTGGTTATAAATGTCAAGTACTTCCTAATTGGCCTCGTCCCACTTCAGTTTGGACGATAATGAATAAATAGCATCACAGATAACCTTTCAAACTTATCAAAATGCCAGACTGGAGTATGCCCCCCCCCTCCCCTGACCCCTCGCCCTCCCCTCCACCCCTTCCCCAGCATCCCCTCACCGGTCCAGGCCAATGAGCAGGCGGCTCCTCTCCTCCTCCTTCTGGCTCTCGTTCTTCAGGTCGGCAAACACCTGAGTGAAGTAGTGAGGGTCGGAGTTGATCTGGAGCATCTTCGCGCTCATCAGGTTGATGATGGACAGGCAGCGGTCCCAGAAGGTCTCCTTGGAGCTCTCCACCAGGAAGGGCTTGAGAGGGTAAGAGATCTCGTTGCCCATGTAGGAGTAAGACAGGTAGAGGCAGGTGAGCAGCACGGCCTGCAGCTCGTGCTCCGTGGCCACCTCGGAGGAGACCACGTCCCGGCACAGCATGTAGACAAAGACCACGTTCGCCGGGGTGATGAATCCCTGGTCCTGCCAGCCCTGGAGCAGCAGGGAGCGGTCCACGCTGCGCAGCCACAGCACCGGGTCGGTGGGTGACAGGTGTTTCAGCCGGTAACAACGGCGGCACAGGAACTCCCCGAGGCAGCGCAGCAGCTCGCTGGTGGAGGCCTGGACGATCACTCTCTTGGGGGTCCCGGGGGCCACATTGGAGTTGGTCAGAGGGGCCTTCTTGATGGACGACACTGTGTTGTTGGAGGCCTTGGTGAGAGCCGGGGTGCTCTGATCCTGGGTGAAGGTGGACAGGTTGGCGCACGACTGCGACTTCTTCAGGTTTTCATTGTTCAGTTGGGTGACATTGTTCTGGTAGTTGCCGTTGGGCTGCACCTTCTTGGAGCCTTTCTTCTTGGCCGACACCGCTACGATCCGCTTCCACGGGAGCACGTTGATGAGCGAGTGGCGCTTCAGGTTCTTGTCTTTGGCGTTCTTGCTGTTCTGGACGGCCGTGTAGTGGCCCACGGTGGCCGGCCCATCCTCGAAGAGCGCCGCCTTTCGGTAGCTGGGTGACAAAGACAGCACGGTTCCCATGGTGACTGTGGGTAGGCGTCCAGGGGCTTCAGCCGCACTGGGTCAGAAGAGGGTCTGCCAGGGGAGATCCGGAGGGTCTCAAAGCCTCTATGTGCTTCTGGGAGCTGGGAGTCCTGGGCTACAGGCTGCCGCTGCAGGGCCTGGGTAGAAAACGATCCTGTGAACGGCTCTCTGAAGGGATAACGATCACCTCGACTCAAACCGTCTCTGCTGGATTTCAGCTCTCTGTCTGCGTCTCCTGATGGCCACTGCTGGAAGCAGAAAAGATCAATAATCAGAAAATAAATAACTGGTGAAGCATCTCATACCTCTAGATTATCCATGGGTGTTTGCAGAAAGCAAAAACAAATATTTGACATATTAAATCTTTCATTCAGCATACATCAGATGATATCACGGATATCAGCTCTGTAATGTTCTCATGAATGTGTGCCTGAGTGGTTTATCTGACCGTACCTCAGGCTCATTAGCACTATTGATCTGACTCAGTAAGTGGAATGGATCAGCATATAGCTTATACCAATTAATTCAAACAGTATAGATCCCTCCTTGCTGCAAGTGATCAATAAGCATCCTAACATATGTTAGTATAAACCTGCAGCAGATTACAGAGAATACAGAAAGAAACAACAACTTTTCATATGAATTCTACTCCACATTGAATTTAATGTGGTGAATTCATGAACGTTTCGTAACGAGAGAGCCATATTTCATGTGCAATGGCCGACGAATCAGAGCGAACCATGCGCCACCCCTCTCGCTAAAATGGAAGACATAAACACCTTAATAACAGGTGAAGGTCGCGTGTGGTACACAATACAGCACGAATCCAAGGTCAAACAGTTCCCCAAACATTAAAACTAGATCATCAAAGAGACGTGTGATTATTTCTGTCGAGCGATACATTTTTCCTCCTCGCTGCGGCACAAACACGACTGTCGACGGATCCACTTTGCTCGCCTGAGCGCGAGCCGAGCAGCGCGAGCCCTCATTCCACCACCCTGTTATCAATCGGATTCATCGACGGAGGAGAAATTCCACAACACGAGCTTTTAATGTGACTTCACTGGGTGAAAAATCAGAGGACGCATCGGTGCTGCCTGCCGTGTGTGCTTGTGAGTTGTGTACATCGGGTGCTCTCCGTGGTGCTGAAACCGAGCGTCTGCGTCGAAATGAAAACGCTGGCCATGATAGGCGGTGGTTGGTTTAGAAATGAAGGAAATCCTCATCTGTCCCTGTAATCCGTTGATATCTCGCAATATATCGGTGCATTTAGCTGTCTGTAACGTTACATCCACATTTTTATCAACGTATTGACATATTTTCCTCAATGCCCATTATCTGCTTTCAAATATAATGGATTCACAAATCTGAACTCCTGCACCAGCACCGATATGTTCCAAAAAATGGAAAGAGACTCACCAGATCTCCTGCTCAGTGAGATTATAATTGCGCTGTAACGATGGTGCTCCGTGTTTTTCTCTTACAGGACGCGATTAAAAACACAAAACCATCTCCGAGAAAAATACATGCAACAAAGAAAAAAATAATCCGAGCCGAGGCACCCTTAAAAAAAAAGAAGCAAGCGTTGGATGAACACGCCCGGTGTCGGCGGTGCGCAGACGATGGGAGGCAGTTGTGGAATGGATGCTCAGATGAAGATGTGCTGCTGGTGCTCCTGGCCGCGAGAGATGCGGATGCTGCGAGGGCTGATGTTGTCTTGTGTGACTGGCTGACTGTGTGTGAGGAGCGTTGACGCAAAGGCGGTGGTGGGGCGCCGCTCTGCGCTCGGTGTGCGCGGTGAAACAACTCCGCCTATAGCCGAACACACAGGAGGCACACATGCAAACATGAACCCAGTGAACTCCGAGAATGTTTTTCTCTTCATGACACCGTTAGCGACACTCCGATCAACGCCATTTATCAATAAGCGCTGAAGTGAGTCGATGGTTGTATAAGCCTGAGTAGCCTATAATACCTTTGCATCAGATTGTAGCCTACCATGTGCTTTTACAGTAATCTCATCTGTATGTTCATGTAGGGGTATTTTCTTGTCTGTGGTAGTCCATTATGAGAAATGGTCTGACCAATGCTTCATTTAGCCGTTTGGGAAGATATCGCTGCTTTATTTATCCATTATCAATATGAATGTTGTTACCCTTTTACAATTTATAGGCTATTTTTCATTTTATTGTCCGAAGTATTATAATTGTACCATCCTATATTGATGCTGCAGTTAGCCTGAGGAGAGTTAATGTGTTTTTACATGCTTTCCCAGCAAGAATACATATTTTAATGGAATTGTGTCACATTATCATGAAAACTATTGAATATTGGCACAAAATATTGGCTTTGGAAAAACACGAGTGGCCTGCCTCTGTGATGATTTGCATACTATAAGATTTAAATGCATGATTCTTAATTACGTTGTCCAAAGAATTCTGCTTTTGGGACAGAGCTTTGAAGACAAAACAATTGTTTACATTCATATATCTAGTTTAATTGCATGCAGAATATAGATTTTTTTTTTATTCTAAAAATACCCTATTAAAGGCATAATTCAAAGTATATTATCTATATTCAGTAACGTTAGGTCTAAAATAACGTTTTAAATACATCATTAACACTCCTTTGAGCATCTCCAACCATTATACACCTAGTTTGTCCTATTACTGATAATGAAAATGACTACTATCTAATTTATGCATTTATGTGGTTAAGTAAACACACATACAAATCATCTGCGTACGTAAAGGAGCGTCTAAAAAGTGTTTACAACCCATTTCCTAAATATGACTACATTTCCCATATACCTTTAAATCCCGGCATGCAAAGTCCTCGCTGACGTCACGATACACTAGGTAACGTAGTCTACGGACGTAAGATTTCATTCAAGGCAGCATTTGAATAAGGAAGATGGCGGCCGCAGCAGTGGTTGAGTTTCAGAGAGCCCAGTCTCTCATTAGCACGGACCGCAACGCATCAATCGACATTCTCCATTCAATAGGTAGGTGTTGGGCCGAGGTTTTAGAGAGACGGACACTATTTATCTGACCAACCGTATTTAGCGATTTCTCGGTCAGTGTTAAGCGGCGATGTTAGCATGCTAGCTAGTGCTAGTTAGCATGTTAGCTTAGTGGCGTTCAGTAGCAAAGAGCCGGTGGTGAGCCGTGCTGACTCACTGCTGAACGGTGGTTAACGGCAACTGCTAGTGGATGTTAGCTCGTTAGCAGCTTTGCTAACTTTAGGCCTGGACGTGAAATATGTTGTGTAGTTATTAGTAATGTTGTGTTTTTGAGTGTTAAGTTTGGTCATTGACAGCTGTTTTCTAAGCTAACTACCACTAGCTCAACTGAGGACTGTCATTTTAGCATTGTGGCTAACGTCTTTAGCTTGTTGTCAAAAGCCTTTGACCCTTTTTTCGTCAACACAGTGAAAGGCAGCTCTCTGACAGTAACAAGAACTTCTACTTATTGTTGTTATTAATAATGGGACATGTGTTGCTAATTGGCCAATGTTTCCTTGTGTGTCAATGGTTGAGCATATTGAAAATTGCTTTACTTTATAACGTTACTGTAAACAGGTCTTATATTTCATATATTGCATCACGGTGCTCAAATTGCCTTTTGTCACTTCAGCCCACTAGCTGTCAAGTTGTACGGTTTCACACTTTATTTCCCTCAAGTATTAATGTCGTGACTAAACATTGATTTAGTCCTCAGTAGTGGGGTAACATTAAACTAATGTATGATCAATTTGACAGAAAGGTATTTAAGTTTTCAGAATCTGAACCGTTTATTTGCCAAAGTATGTTGCACAGACAAGGAATGTGACATGGTGGATGGTGCACAACATTACACAATCAACACAAAATACAAGACCTGATTTAAAAATAGAAACTTATAGAAATGTACTATGAAATATACAAATATGGTAAATAAACCAACAAGATAAGAGTATATTAAAACATTTTGATAAAAAGCTGATTTGCTGCTTATCTCTGCTTTGTATAGTTGTGAATATAATATATTTTGTGTTTGGACTGCTTGTCGGACATACAAAGCTATTCTACGAGAACATTGTGATCTGCGTTTTTCCACTATATGTTTCTTGTAGACTAAATAATAGCTACATAAAACTAATTTGTTAGTTGGATCCATAGTTGTCTGATTGGTGCGCGGGCCCAATATTGAGTAATACTGAGATGATGTAAATACAACGGATGATGTAAATACAACAGATGATGTGACATAATGATGTGACCATAAACCTGGACTGAGTCAGATTGTGGTTTCCAAAGCTTAAATAGTCCAGGACTCACATTAGTTACATGAGTGTGTCACGTTGCCTTCCAGACAGTTTTACACATTGCATCCAGCGAGGATAACATTTTTAATTGTTTTCTGATGTCAACCTGTTGCCTTTCTTTGACAGTGAGGAGAGATTTCCAAGAGAACGATGAGGAGGCTGTCAGGGTTAAAGAACAGAGTATCCTGGAGCTGGGGACACTCCTGGCCAAGACGGGACAGGCTGCAGGTAACGCTCAAACTTTGATGTCATATGTTATGTTATGTCATATTTATACATTCTAAGACATTTCTTATGTTTTGTGTCTGTCTCCAGAACTCGGGGGTCTGCTGAAATTTGTGAGGCCTTTTCTGATTTCCATCAGCAAGGCCAAGGCGGCCCGGCTGGTCCGCTCTCTGCTCGACCTGTTTCTTGACATGGAGGCAGCGACAGGGCAGGAGGTCGAGCTGTGTCTTGAATGCATTGAGTGGGCCAAGGCCGAGAAGAGAACCTTCCTACGACAGGCTCTGGAGGTATGGAGGTCGATGATACACTTGTGTGTGCTACCAAAGAGAATACAAGTAGCTTAATATGCTATACCATATTTCCCATCACTTGGGTGTTTTCTAAAAAAACAATATCGGCATGCCTCACTGCTAGAATCTGACAATAGGGGACATTTTGTCCCTTCTGGCGACCGTCACTCCTTCAACTGTGAACAGCTCATGTATAAGGTAGAGGAAACCTGCAGTATACAACTGGATATCACTGAGCTGCAGTTTCATGACATTGAGTCGGTAAAGTTATCAGGCTATTAACGTTTTTTGCGAAAATTTATAGCGCATCAATTATGCTGTCACAGGTTTATTATTTGCATTGTTTGACACTTTGATTGCAGATAAGGCAGAAATATTTGATAAAACCACAAACAGCAGATTTATTCGCCCTCTCACCCAACCTTAGTTAGCGTTGCCATACAACCCCCTTTATGATTAATGATAATGAAAACAGAAGAGATATTTCCAAACATAAATAGCAGCTGTGGGAGGGGTCAAGTTCACCATGTCCTGACTCATGGAGTGTACACGCTGTGATTGTAGTGGAGCATTAGGTTGTTGGTATGCAACTCACTACTGTGGCATTACTTGAGATTAAAACCAAAGGCAGACTGGAAACTTGATAAATGTGATGAAGCAAAGTTGTAAACTTGCCGTAAGAAAGTAACAACGAGAGATGATTGTAGAGCTACCACACGGCCATCTATGATGATGTCACCCTGCTGTAGCAGCCAAAAGGACTGACAGCAGGTTCACGCTCACAGCCAGGAATATCTGCAGCTTTTGGCTCAACTACAAAACCCAGGAACAACAAGATTCTACAACAGTTCTATGAGACTGTGGCATGTACAAATGATTGAAAGCTGAGAAGAGGGACGCTCTTCAGACCGGCCACGGTTTGCCTTAGGACACACAATATGAGTAATGTGATGGGAATAAAGAAAATCACGGCAAGCTTTGAGCTCAGAGAGAAGTCCTCATGTACTTAGATCCACCTTAAAACACTGTTTTGAGGAACAGCGGTTTGTAGACAACATGATATCATGTTGATAAATGTAATGAAGCGTTATTTTTCCAAAGCTTTGGTGGTGAGCATCAGGTTTATGTGTCACCCTCCTAAAAACAAACGCCGAAAGTTTCTTTTCAGATTCACTATTTTGCATCTTTTAACGAACATTTCTGCCTCAGCGGGCAGTAATGTAATGCAGCTTCAGAATGCTGCATTTCAAGTATAATGATCTCTTATATGCACGTTGGTGTTCCACCTTTGAGAACAGTTGGTTCACCTCCCGTCTTTGGCACGTTCTATAAGAAGCAACTCCAGGAAATGTAGGACGTGTCTGTAATTTAGCACGTTCTTCCAAGAAGTGTGCGAGTGGCATTTCAACATCTTGGCGTTTGCGATGCTTCGCTTCCTAACGGTTGACATTTAGAAGGCACAAGCTAAAATGTATCTATTCCATCATGTGGGACAAAGTGTCGGAAATATTTTTTTTTTGTGTGTAAAGAATGATAAAACCATGAAAGAACAGCAGGTTTTATGTTAGCTTCTATTGTTCAGGGACTGAAGAAGAACATTATTAGCTATATCTGATACAAAACATCTCTTCTCTTTGTGTGAGATTCATGTTCTTAGTACATGGTCCACAACAATTCAATGTTACAAAACCAAACCTTGTTTTTAGAATAAAATGTTTCGAAGCTGCTTTCTGCTTGTCTAAATAAATTCTCTCTTCTTTCAGGCACGACTGATCTCGCTCTATTTTGACACCAAAAGATACCAGGAGGCCTTGGCGCTTGGTGAGTGTTTAGAGACAAAACATTTGTATCTTTTGGTAAATGGCAGCTTCTGTCTTCTGCTTCAGAGACTTAACGAGAAGGCCGGCCAGGTAGCTTATAAACAAAAGGTTTGCAGTG